AGGGTTACTCCACCCCAAAATGAAAATTTTGTCATTAATCACTTACCCCCATGTCGTTCCAAACCTGTAAAAACTTCGTTCGTCTTCGGAACACAATTTAAGATATTTTGGATGAAAACCGGGAGGCTTGTAACTGTCCCATTGACTGCCAAGTAAATTGCACTGTCAAGGTCCAGAAAAGTATGAAAGAAATACTCTTCGCATACAAAAAGTATTCTCGTCGCTTCATAACGTTACAGTTGAACCACTGATGGCAGATGGACTATTCTGACGATGTCTTTCATACTTTTCTGGACCTTGACAGTGTTATTTACTTGGCAGTCAATGGGACAGTTACAAGCCTCCCGGTTTTCATCCAAAATATCTTAAATTGTGTACCGAAGACGAACAAATCTTTTAGGGGTTTGAAACGACATGGGGGTAAGTGATTAATGACAAAATTTTAATTTTGGGGTGGAGTATCCCTTTAATTGCTCTAAATCAACCATATTTTTCTTCCTTCTAGAGAAATTTAACTGAGTACTTTGTCGCAGTGGATGTGAACAACATGTTGCACCTCTACGCCAGCATGCTGCATGAGCGACGCATCATCATTACCTCGAGCAAGCTTAGCACTGTGAGTTTCTGCTGTCATTCTCATTTACACATCAGACAGCTTTCCTGTTACTTAAAAATATTCATATACATTGTTTTTATACAATACATTTAAATTTGGTCTTTTGGGAACCATCGGAACTATTTTTGTATGTAAATAAATGTGTTTTTAATTTTTCTAATTAACATGATATGTGATGGACTTGTTTATTTTTTGCTCCCAAGACTTGAAACTTTTCACACCAGTGGAAAATGCAGAATCATAGACATTATTATGTAGGTCTTATTCTTCCTGCTCTCTAGGGCTACGTATTGCCAACTACCTCATGATATGATGCACATTATAATAAGTTATTTAGATGACCTGCTTCTCATTAATTGAACAGTAAGAAAGAAAATATTGATACAATAATCTAAAACATCTCAAAAAATACTGTACACTGATTTGGCTCTTTCAGTGGGCTTAAGTCTGTTAGCTTTAAATGATCACTTATTGGATCCCTGACTCTTCCACATATTTTCTGTCTGGCTCTTCTTGCCTGAAAAAGGGAGTGGGTGCTTATCACACGGGGGCGGACGTTGGTCCAAACTTTCACGACAGTTGGTGTAGCAGCAGCGGGTGATGTCATTCGCTCCCTATCTCTCTCCGATTCCCCCCAGAGCATCTGCAGTGTGCTCGCAGACAGTGCCGGAACTAAGGGGCTCCCCTCGTACCCTCTGGCTCCGGAGGAGGCTGTCGGAATGACCCTATCCGTGGAGTATTTCACTCCTCCGGGCTGCCGCCTTCATTCTGTGTGCTCACTGACACGAGGGGTTAGAATGTGCAAATCATTAGTCTCTTGGGTAAACTGTTTTTTTTTACTCTCCCATAGCTTGATTTACTGTTTTGCAAGATGGGAGCATGAGCGACCTTGAGTTTCTGAAACTAATATGCCAAAAGATTTACTACGAAGAAGATGGATATTAAGGTTCCACCTCAGCGAAGACTTTCATAATCTCAAATCCCAAAACCATCCGTTGTCTTCTCAAGAGCCTTGGGAGTTGCAAGCAACTATAGGAAGACACATATGATCAATTTTGCAAAAAAAAAAAAAATTTAAATCGTAGACGCAAGTGTAGACATATGGCCAATTTCCTGAATTGTTCAGAGGGGGCATATGACAGTGGCCACGGTGTGGTCAGCCTACCGCTACCGTTTCTTCAGCAAGCCAACGGGATAAAGAAAGGGAAAGAAAGAGGAAGAGAGTGAATGCATTATGCATGCTGCCAGCGGACCCTGAGTGTTCAGGCCCCTAGTGAACCTGCTGTGTCAGTCTAGCAGAACATGGCTGCACACTTGCCTGTATTGGAAAGCAAAAGAATAAATCATGATCTAACAACAGTGCATCAGTTGACTTATTGCTGTTTTGAGACCAGAGGTAAGGAGTAACACTGTTTTAAAACCATGTCGCAGGCTCTGGGAGGCAGCCGCCCATGCAGTCTTGTCATATGCCAGTATAATTGTGCTGCATCAGGATCCCTCTAACTAGTCAACTGGGAGGCCCTGGCGCGTTTCATCTGCGGGACCCCCTCGGCCGGCCCCGAGTCTTGACAGCCTCCTTCTCATCATGCTGTCAGTGGTATGCTAACAAGACCCAATCCCGTCTTGGCCTGTGGTGCTAGCCACTGTGGTTCCTTTTGGCTTTACACTCCCCTTTTTTAATGCTCTACTCAGCAATGCCATCTTATTTTCTTTCCTTCTTCAAGCATCTCTCCTACCACACCTTTAATAGACATTTTATCTTCCTCCGGCACTTCCTGTTCTCTTCTTTGTGGTATCGTGTTGCAGTGGGAGGTGGATTAGTGGTGTTTGGCGCCCTTCCTCTACCTTTTCTTTTTTTAATGCCACCTCTTTGTTAGCAATACACCTGTGTCGGCACCCCGCTCAGAGCCGTGCGTTTGTCAACAGGAGGGGAGAGCGAGGCTTGGTAATTGGGAAACAAAAAGAGGGCCAGGGGAGAGAAGTCTCGCAGGTAGCAGGAGTCAGCACAGACTGCGGCGCTGTCACCCTTGTCAGGGGGAATCACACCTCTAGTCTCCAGTCTGCCCCAATCACAGATTCCACTGTGAGCTTTGTTGTGCTTATCAAAGAACGGGACTTTTTTTTGGTCTTTGTCTATTCTTGGAGAAGTTGCCTTGGATATTTTTGAACCCCAGCTTCTCCCTAGATGTAGGGAATATGTTCGTCAACTTGTTTACATAGACAGGGTTCACTGGAAAGGTGTTACAAAGCATATCTTTATACTTCATCTGTGGAATATATCTCAGCAAGGCAAAATGGTACAAATGTACTCCTAGAGATGAGTGTGAATGTAGTTTGATTGTGAAGTGAGAGTTCTGTGACTGTCACCTGATTGGACAAATCCCAAGTTCGCTGAACCAAGACGGCAAGATCCTTCTATTTCCTTTCCTCTCAAGAGAAATGTGCAGGTCTGTTTCTATCAGGGCTTCTAGCTTGCTGCTTAGCAGTAAAAGAATTGTGTTGCTGGTCTTGTTAGAGTCTTTTAACTTTTGCCTTGTCATTTTTTAATAAACAGGAATTTAATGAATTTTTTAAACAAATCAGCTCAGCCTTGAGTGTCAGGATTTTTGTGTCCTTAAAGAAAATGTTATGGTATTTTTATTTATTTATGTATTTATTTTTTGTTTTGGTTGCACTTTATTTTACAGTATGTACACTTATATGTACTTACAGTGTACTTACCTAAGAACGTACTGGGTAATATAATGTTACTACATGGGTTAGGGTTAGGTTTAGGGGTAGGTTCAGGGTTAGTACCTAGTTATTGTAATTACTATAACAAGTACATCGTATGCACATGTAGAACAGGACTGTAAAATAAAGTACTACCAGTTTCTCCCCTGTAATTTGTGGTACTCAACCGATACTGGTTTTCCAAAGATCAATGCCGATATCTAGAGCAGATGTGCAATATGTTAAAATATGCATATATTGATTTTTTTAAAACAAAATTTACTCAAAATTGACTTAGTGATTGAAAACAAAAATTGAAGGTAGAGTCTGGAACTCTCTGACTACGGTCCAATATTGGTCCGATATACAATGGAGTTTGGAACTAGTCTATTACTAGTAATTTGCATATGATAATGTAGTTTCATTTAGGCATATTTTTTTTAGAGATATTTATCCTTGAACAAATATATGCTTTAATGAAACGATTGTAGAACTGACATTGCATTTGTTGGTTTTCATGTAAAAACCTCTTTTCATGAAAGGACTGTTTCAAGTGTTCTTTGAAATTCTTTAGAATGGCATTATTGTTTTTTTGGGTCTATTTTATTTCCAAAGATGGATCACTTTGTATAATAGAGAAGACCCCCATTTAACACATCCCCAGCACACTCATTACCGCTAACGGCAGCAGTAGCTCACAGGTCTCAGCAGGATCCAGCCTAGCATCCAAACAAACCGTAATCCAGCATTTGTTCTTGCAGATGACTTCTTCATTCAAAGGAATATCAAGCATACCTTGCCTTTTGTGGCCATTTGGCTTTCTTTTCATTTGGCATTTCTTCATTAATTATTCATAACATTGCCAAATATTTTATTAGGAGCAGCACTCCAACAGTGTATTGTGGGTACAACTGGAGATTCAATGGCAGTGATACAGTTATTCTGAACTTTCTCTTTAATTGTCACAGAAAGGGGGTCATGACTGATTTTCTTGCAGGATTGTGTGCGCTGTGATGAATCCCTCGGTTGTGAGCAAAACATCTTGTGCGGGAAAAATATCAAGAGTTAATTTGTTTTTGAATTCCACCTCTTAATGTTTATCTAGGTTTCGCCACCTCCTTTTCGTGCCCTCATCTTTGAAAGAAGATGGCACGGTTTTACTTTCAAGTCAAGAATAAATCAAGCCAATTGGGCTTGTCTGTGGACATTGTTGAATTAATTGGAATGCGCCATTAGGCTTTTTTACCCATCTCTACATGGTACAGAAAGGTTCCCCTTTAAGAAACTAGACGGCAGTCTGTTCGCACAATCAAAGAAAAGTGTTTCTTTGCAGTGCGATGACCTCTCAGCATGATTCATTTATTGGACCTTGAGAAAAAGGGATCTCGAACAGAATGGGTCTCAAAGCTTTGATATCAACCAAACTTCAGTTGGTGAGAAATGCCATAAATATTCATTTCTTTCTTCTAAATTGCCCGGATGAAATTAGATCTGTCACAACTAAAGCTTTTTCTTTCTTTTCAGAGAACGGCACAACAAATTTGCATATGTTATAAAGCACGGCACTAAATTACTGTTAATTAAAGCTGCGCTATTTCTTGACTCGATAGGTCATGTCTTATCCAGAGTGGTTGCGTTCGACCACAATTTCACAGAACTCAACGAACACAACAACACCACCACTCAACCAGCCTTACACATCACGGACGTACACAGAAGTGATTCCGGATTAAAACTGATCTCTTTGAAGCTAACTCTTGTGCCACGGCCAAGCTTGGTTGGTTTCAGTGGCCAATTGTGATAGTGTGTGTGTCAGTGAGCAGGGGGGTCTCTTGATACTTCCGAGCCATGGTTCACACATTACTGGAAGCTCCAATTGTCAAGACCCCTCTTCCAGCCCCTACTCCCCAAGGTATTCCAATAGCTCACAGTCTCTCTTGGCTAACTCATGTTTCATTCTTTGGCAATTTGCCCTAATGAAGTCCCAGAGGAGCCTTCAGACCTCTGTTCTTTTTCCATATTTAATCATGTTATTTTAATCTGGAAGATGAGGAAGAGCCAGCGTGTGCCACACAGGTCGTTACAACCTCTAGGAATCAGGGTGTGGTGAGGGGTCACTTGGGTGTTCACTCATTAAACATCAACACAAGCGTTGTAATTAAGTGTTCGCTTCTTGTAGAGTCTGATTATTTACTGTGTGTGTGTATAACAGTAATAAAGCAACATTAATTTTGTATCGGCTCTGGAGCCGCTACACATTCGACACCTTGTGCTTTGGTGTAATTTTAGGCCCTTGATTGATGCCCTGATTTTGGGCTTGAACCTGCGCAGTTAACATCAGGAAAGCGAAAAACAAAAGCGCACGTTTAATCGGCTTGTGATGTTATGATAAAAAGAGTAACTGTCTAATGCTGCCTGCTCTCCTGACCTGCAATAAACGCAGTCCCCTTCAGCATATAAAGCATTAAACGATGGCATATGAAGGAGTTCACATGTCTGTTTTTTTTCTTGTCGTAGTTAACTGCATGCGTGCATGGGTCCACTGCCATGCTCTACCCTATGCACTGGCAGCACATCTTCATCCCTGTACTTCCTTCTCACCTGCTGGATTACTGCTGGTAAGAGCAGCGCTCATCTGCGCATGCACACACTTACACAAATGTTTCATTTATATCTCACTCAAGCTTGGGCTGTGCTGATTTCTGAGCTTTAGAGCTGTATGATTTGTGTGCTTTAGGCATTTCGAGTTAATTTATCAAGCTTTTACATTGATGTTTGCTTTGTATGTCAAAAGCAACTCTGACTAAATAACTGTGGATTAGGAGCTGATAGTACTACATTCTATGTCGAAACCATCGTCATCTTAAGCCAAAATGTAATAATGAGCACACACTGGGCAGCAGGAACTTTGAGCAGTCAGTTTCATGGAAATCTGCTGCTTTCTGCTTAATGACTGATAAAGCTGATATATATTTAATATCATAAAACATAGATAAGTCTGTCTAATTAATTTATTTGTCAATGTATTTACTTTTTTTTTTTTTTTGATTAAATGTTTTAAATAAATGTCATATCTATCACAAAATTATTTTTTAAAATTTGTATAAATAATTTATGATAATATATACAAATCTTTCTTAAGTGTGTGTGTGTATTGTGTGTGTGTATGTATGTGTATGTGTAGGTCAGACTTCTTTTAATCGGCCAAGCAGGTACATTCTCAAAATTCGGCCAAACTTTAGGCCATTAATTGGCCTGGCCGATATATCGGTCCATCGGTAACATGGAGCTTCTGAACATGCAGTACTACTTTCTGAAATACCCCTCATCCTAATGAATATCTTTCACCATGTCTGAGATCTCAAAGGGTTTATGAAGGACATGATTTATTAGCACTGATGCCACCACACCAAGTCCAGCATGCAATCTCCTTTGCTTTTTTCTTTTTTCTTTTTAACCCATCAGGAGCATATACGGCTTGAGAGGCAGACTGATTTCCGTATGCCGACTGTGGGCTAAAACCGTGACCGCACTCTTAACTTACAGCCCTGCTCTATAGCTACCAGAACACCCTATACCCTTAAATTGATGGACTTGTGCTGCCATGCCTGACACCAGAGCTCCTAAGAAAATATTTGTGGTCGAATAATACAACGCTGATATAAATACAGCTTTAAGAGTAGCACCGTTTTCCAGTCCAGCAGACATCCGAGATGATTTATCATATTTTAGCTATCTAATTATATCAAAAAAGCATTATCATATTATAAGGCTGTGCATCGATCATAATGAACGCTATTAGAAATGATGGGAATTAGGCTGTCATAACAAAGTTACACTCACGGACAACAATGACGTGACGGGGCTCACCCCGTGCATGTGCGTGCATGTCAGCGTGCCTGCATGTCAGTTAAATCCGTGGCCTTAACAGATGCAGCGAGGGAGACTGCAGCTTATTAGCCACATAACCTGATTGAGCGCGCACAGTAGCGGCTACCCAAACCTATCTAATTACACGGCCCTGCCTCGCCCCGCTCTGCACCGAGACTCAAAAGTGACACTCACCAATTACACTAATCACCTTCAGCGCTCGTTCCGGGAAATGCCGAGAACTCTATTGAAGTTTAGCTTGTGATGCATGCTGCGTCAAAGATATGTCAATTCACGGTGATCCTCGTTTATTATTATTTTTGCTTTGTCTGGTGTTATATTTGTTCTGTGTTATGAATATGTTTTGTTTGTAAAGAAAACAACGCATTTTTTGAATTATTAGTATTTTTAAAATGCAATAAAGCATTTGCTAATTACTGTGGTTTGTCTCTGTTTCCAGTGCGCCCATGCCATATCTGGTCGGAGTTCATCTCAGCCTTTTAGAGGTACGTCACATAAATCTTCTGTCAGCAGCCGTTCATCATCCTTAAAGTGTTTTATGAGACGTTTGATCAGAAGCACTACTGCTACCAGTCGCAGCTTTCTGATATTACATAAACCATCATTATTTATTTACTTTTTTCACTCCGGGTCACTTAAAACCAGCTGTCCCTCTGGATTCAAACCATCTGAGATGCTAATAACGGCCATCTACTTTGATGCATCATCGCCGAGCACGGGGAAACCTACAAAAATTGACACATTGTTTTTTTTGCTTTTCATCTCCCGGGTGCCCATGAGAAATGAAAGAGCCGGTGAAACGGCGGAGAAACAAAGAGATGGTGCGTGGTTATTGAGAAATGGCATGTTGGTTGGAGGTAGACCTATAGCTTCACGCGCAGATCTGATAGCGCTGACGGTCGCGGCGGTG